AGAGAGAGAGAGAGAGATCCAAGAATGATGCGATATGAAATATTTATAATGTGATCATTTATGACGTATTGATGAGTGAGGTAACAGCTGATTTCCTGTTTCCTGTGAGATTCTTATGAAGGATTTTTAAAGAAAGACATTATGGTCTGTGAGGAGGTACGCATCAACAGTTATGGGTTTACACCAATCACAGCAATGGCTATAATATATATATATGTTCTATTTATTGTTCTACTCATCGGTTTTATATTTAACTTTTTCTATTATTATTACATTATTCTAGAAAAAATATTTCTTAGGGCTGAGAGGAGAAAAAAAGGCACCTCAAGAAACAAAAATGGCTGAAGAATGTAGGAGGGAAAGCAGATAGCCTTCCTGCTCCATTGTTTATTTTAATGATGTTTTTTGTGTTGTTTTGTGACCAAAATGTGACAGCCGAGATGTGACACGACGCGTTAAAGACAGACGATAGTTTACTGTGAGCTTCAAGAAGAGGGGCGATGATAGAAACCCACCTTTTCTTCCTCAGCGTTCTCCACATCATCCCACAGGTGTTTACTGCAACGGCTCATCTCACCGTTGTTATTGACACAAATGTCCCCCGCATTGAATCTCACTACAGGTGTGTGCTGCTGAAGGCTGAGACAGAGTTCAGGGAGAAAGACCAAGTGGAAGTTGAGCAGAAAGAAAACAAGTACAGAAGTCAGAATGTAACGCGGTAAGGATGGAAAAGACTCAGTGCCGAGCTGTAAGTGCTGCTGTTTACTGTAAGTGTGTCGAGACGGAGTCGAGGAGAAAGTCGAAAGAGAGGATTAATAATGTTGTTAATAATGATTTTTTTTTATTTTTTAGGTCAGTCAGTGTTTTCCTGTCAGTTTTGTGGATTTTAAATGAGAAAGAGCTTTCTTGCCCGCTAACATTACCTCTATTATAAGAGGGGGGATGATCAGACTCGGGCCCCGACCACTAAACCATTCTGTCTTTAACGTGTGCTGCCATTTCTCCGGTCTGGACTTTGTTTGTTTGCGTCGTCATGTCTTCCAGTCTGACCAACAAGAGTTAAAATCCCCTCTATTTCTCTGTCTTCAAACGCCAGTAAGCCTTATGGTTTAGCTCAGAATGAGTCAAAAACTTCAACGTCCAGCATTTCAGAGTCAAAAAAAAAAATTAACAGACGTGAGGAAATATATTTTTAAACATTTGAAATCTCAACTACATTTAAAAAACAAAACAAAAAAAAAGGAAACGTGGAAGACTTCCCCTTCAATATCTGAATGACGGATTAAAAAGAGAGTACCAGGGGATGTGCTCTTATTAGGCATAGGGAATTGTATTCCAATATATTTATTTGAATGTTTTTATTATTATCATTGATGGATAACTTGAATTTCTTTTCTATTTAATTTATTTGATGTCATTTTGTTTTGGAGTTTAGCAGTAAGGGGGTGTAGTCGTGTTTCACTCTGCAGTTTAAGTCTTCAGACTTTGTTCTAAAAATAAATGCCTCCTTTTTTTTTTTTCTTTTCTTTACAGATATCTCTTATACGACACATTACCTGTTTTTCCGCTGCTCTTAAGTCCATATGCTTTACTCTTGCACATCCATTAAATTGCTATTAGCTAGCAAAGGCGCTTTATGGCAGAAAGTATAAAAGGATGGCGCTGGCCTGCATGCTGTAGTCCTCCTCGTTCCGCACTACCAGTCCCGAGTCAAAGTGGCACTCTGAACTCTTATGAAAAATACTTCTCTGTGATCGATTGAGCCTGTCTGGCACAGCTGAAGCAGGCGAATCCCACCCAGCTGGCACCCTCGACAGGCTCAAGCAAACGCTCCCAAGTATTTGGAAGGATTTCAGCTTTGATTTGACCCAGGTCTGCGAGTGACTGAGGAGTTCTAGCTGTATGTGCACGCTTACCGCCAAAATCATTAGAAACCAGAGTTCATAAAATACCGCTTTGTAGCTTTGGCCACAGCACTTTCACATCCATCACTTTTTATATGATTCAGAGGAATCTGATTCAGCCCTGCTTTAAAGGAAGATTTTTAGCTTTTTTTTTTTCTTTCTCTAATGTTTTTAAGAAACTGAGGATTTTAAAAGCACATCTCCCCTCCACATACGACCGATAGCTTTGATGTTGCTCTCTAGAGTTGGCAAGACCCGGGTGATTGTGTCCCACATGCCAGAGACGAGTCAGCGCTGCCACTGCAGAGCGGGCTGTGGAGCTCAGTGGATGTCAGTGAATTGGTCAGTCTTCAGAAACTAAAATGTTTGGAAAAACCCACTGAGCAATCGTTGCTACTCCACTGACTCCTCCTACTCTCGTTTTGAAAAGTTTTCACCCCGGTGAGCCTCCAACTCTCCTTGTTCAACAACTTGTTCTACAGATTCAAGTTCACTTACTGGCAGCAACAATGCCAGAAGCTGATGCTAAAAGGTCAGAGATCATAAAAAAAATACTGCAAGTGGAGAAGGTGGAGCTAAGTTATCCTCTTCATCAACGTGGGTTTTCCCTTAAAGACTATGAATCAGTCGAGGGGACATGTCCGTAACTTTTGTCTCAATAGTTTCACCAAACAGAGGTTCTTAAACGGGGTGCTGAAGCTCAGTTTAAGCCTCCTCACAGCTTTACCGGAGCCCTAGACTGGTGTGAATCGACAGTATGTGAGATATCTGACGCTGCACTGACAGCGTTCACTCTTAAAGCTGCTGCTGTTTCTACTGTACATCTATCACACATCAGATCTGACTCCAATAGTATTTGAATATGTAAAATCCTTTCAAAGACCTCAGCTGCTCTGTATTGATCTCACCCGTTGTTAATGAACGGACGGCGTCAGCCAGAAATCACAAGCCGCCCTCAGCCCGGCGTTTAATGCAGATAACAAGTAAACGGCTCCAGTGTTTGGAAGGATTTCTGAAAGTATTTGACCTCATGTCTGCGATAGCATTCCCCCTCCCTCCCCTCTCTCTGGTACTAGTCTATCATCATGATTATTAACATGAACAAGCATGAGATGCATTTATTTATAAACAGCAAACAAAAAACGGCAAACATGTACAAATATTACAAAGTGTAACTGAGTTTTAATTTCATGTCCATGTTCATCTACTGTAGCTTTACAGTTGTGTGAGACATTTCTGGACAGCTGCCAGCTGTTCGCAGAGTGGGCCACGTTTCCCTGAAGCACTGTAGCACTGAAGTCAGCTCTGCTCTACAACATGTCAGTGGAGCAGAGAGGATGTTGACTCTGAGACAGTGTTGGGAAAACTCAGCAGATCGATCAAACAGCCTTTTCTGTCCCTCATGCTGTTAGGATACAGTCCTGCTGGCCAGTGAGGCCGCGAGGATGTGAAAACAACAAATTACCATCAACATGAAGCTGTTTTTTACACTGTACATCCTTAGTATTTTTACACATAAAATGTATATGATAGGGATGCACATTATTTTCCTTCTTACAGACAGCTTCAATAAAGCACTATGTCAATCTGCTGCAATGGTGTCGACTTGTTTCCTTTGTGGCTAAAAAAGAAATGAGTTTAGACTTTTTCCCATACAAAATGTAAAACGTTTTATTTATTTCGAATAAAAGAAAAGGGGAAAAAAAGAAAATGTAGAAAATTTGTATTAAAATTATGATTTAGGGAATTCCAAAAGCTCATATTAGTGCACCAGTGATTTTGCTTATTAAATGTGTAAAAAAGTACCTCTAACCACTTAATATATTGCAGTAACAGTCTATTGCCAAATGTAAAATATAGGCTGGAAACCTGATAACAAAACAGGAGGACACCTGATTCCCTGCACTTTGGGTAAAAAAGCATAAATAACAGTTTGATGTGTTTTCGTCGACAGGAGATAACTCTGAATCCAAACAGACCAGAGGAGGAAACAGGCAGGACAGACTCATGTGGACAGAGCATCGACTCGTCTGGCGTTCGGGAGCTAGAAAGACACAAACACACACACACAGCATTCACTAAAACCAGTGTCTGAACGTCTGACACACACACACAATCTCTCTGGTGATGAATCAGAGCAGAATACATGTTTTTAAATCCAGAACCAGACAGAATCATTAGTCATGAAGGGACAAACGTCTTACTGATTTATTTCAGTAAATGACAACTATAACGTGCACCTAGAGAGAAAAGACACCATCAAAAATTCAGTTAGTAACAGTGAGTCACACACTCTGCTGTGTGTGTGTGTGTGTACCTCTATGTGTAGGGTCTGCATCTCCTCGGTGAGTGTGTTTCTTTCCTGCATCAGCTGGTTCTGTTTGGCCAGCAGCTCACACACCTGCTGGGCGCTGCTCTGACAGTGACGGTCCAACTGCTGCAGTCTGCAAAACACACACACATACACACACAATATTGACTGAAACTGTGTGAGAGGAACGTACCCTCCTGGCTGATATAAAACCAAATGTTGTAAATATTGAAAGAGAGCTGGATCCACAGAAAGCTTTTAATATCACTGGACTTTGTGTTGATCAAGTAATCAACAGTGTTTACATGAATGTGACAGCAGGGTTCCTTTTATAATTAGAGTGCAGAGAGGAGCTGAATAATCGTGATGTGCTCAATCGATATCGGACAGCACTGACCCTAATAAATGGATCCAATTAGGGCTGCAACTAACTAATCTCAACAACTCCATGAATTGTTCTGTTTTTAAAATGTCACCTGATAGTGAAAGATTGTATAATATAATATACATATATAAGAAATCCGAGGTGATGTCTTCAAATGTCTTTTTTTGTCAGACCAACAGTCCAAAGTTACTCAGTTTACTCTTTTGTATGAGAAAGAAAACATTTAAGAATCAGAAAATGTTTTGCATTTTTCTCAGAAATTGTCTAAAATTATCAAATATTATCAAAATAGTTGTTAATTTTCTGGCGATTGACTAAAATTGTTGCAGCTCTTGATCAGACATCGACCAGATGTGACAGATGTTTTTTTAGTGACCGTCATCAAAACATTTTAACAGAGAAATGTTACACCATCTAAAACAATATAATTGTATAATTCAAATAATAGAGAAGTGTATTGAATTCATTTTCTCTGACTTAAAGGACCAGTGTGTAGGACTTAGTGGGATCTGGCGGTGTGGTTGCAGATCAGAACTCCCTCGCTTCACCGTCCCCTTGAAGGAGAAACTACGGTGGCTGATAAACGCGCCGAAAACAATCTACAAGTCCTAGCATGTAACTGTTGTAGGTAGTTTTAATTACCTTGTATACAGTCAGGTTGTAGTTCACAAGATAAATCTGGGGGGGTTGTGAGATGATTAATGGGGTTGGACAGGAAGTTTTTCTAGAATCTTTATTTTTATGAGAAGTATTGGATAAATGTCCCTCTTTGGACCTTGAACAGTTCTTTAGATGAATTTCCTTGTTGGGTTTCTGACCTCTACGATCACGGTTTTGTTTATCTGTTCACACGCAGGTGACCTCATTAACAGCCTGCCAACAGTCAGGTAGTAAATACGCCAAGAACTGCAGCAATGTGCAAACAAAGGCTGGGGAGAAGACAACAAGCTCGTAAACATTAATGAAAACAATACAGGATTTAAAACGTTTAAAAACGTGGCAAATATTTTATGGGTAGGAAGGAAATTAATTCAACACATTTGCTTTCAGCTCAGAGATACAATGTGAGTAACCCTGAATGTAGAGTGACTTGTTTGTTTACAAGAAAACATCACAGGGCCCCAGGTAGACAGGTGTGTGTGTGTGTGTTTTTAATGTAAAATCTTTACATTTAAAAAGTAACTATAGCTGCCAGATAAATTTAGTAAAAAGTACAATATTTCTCTCTGACATGTAGTGGAGCATAAAATGCAAGTAGTTAACTACAGTACCTGAGTATATGTACTTCACCACATCATGCTACAGTATTATATTCGTTAAGTGAACTGTATTTTCATAGTGTGAACATACTACAAGCTCCAACAATGGTTAGAGCTACAGCAACTGGGACAAAGCTAAGGAGATATATTTGTTCCTGATAGGCTCAGTAAAGATGAGCAGAAAACATGTTGACTGTTACTTTGAAGCCTGTACTGTCGCTGCTCTGTGACATTATGTCCCCATATTGTCTTCATGTGCTAGCAGGTTAGCAGTCTGGTGAGAAAGTGGCGTGTACGAAGCAAAGTGTTGATCATTACTGGAACGTCCCAATTAGTGCGTCCCCTCTGACACAGGCGCTTCTGCAGACAGTGAACTCTTTCACTGCACACTGGGGGTGTGTGTGTGTGTGTGTGTGATGGGAGGTGGTGTTTTCCAGCTGGGGTTTGGGGGTAAGTGTATGAATAGTGTGTGTGTGTTGACTGTGTTTGGGGGAGGAGGTGGAATGTGTGTTAAGAGATTTCCCACCAGCAGCCCATTATTTCATCCATTCATCTATTCAGTCAGTCATCCCCTCCTCTAGTGCAGCGGTGAACTCATTCACACACACACACCTCCTGATAATGAGACACAGGGAAATTCTCAGCACTGGTATCTACATTTGCATACTCAACCAGCCATCCATATTTATCCATATTTCTCTTTCTCTCTCTCTCCACTTGACTAAACTACCTAATTATATCTGAAGTACAGAAACTAGCTTTACCTCAACCAGCTAAGACAATGAAATTCTGCGTCCACATTAATGCAGCAGTATTACCAACGAAATAATGTCACATATATCAGCCTCGTTTTGAGTGGGAGTACTTTTACTTACTTACTCAAGGAGTCACAATAGAAGTCTGCGAAGTAGTGAGATGATCAATAGAAATAGTTCGGAACAAGCCTTTTCTAAAATTTTTACTTTTTTCGGGTGAAATTTCCCAGAGTTTGACCTCTTTAGGCCTCAAACGACTTAAAATGAAACAGTGGTTTCAACCGAACTGCAAAAAGCCACAACATGAATGCAAAAGCTGGACGTGAAGCAGTGGTTCTGTTCTAAACCAGCGCCCCCATATCCCTCCTCCAGGTCCAGGTTGAGAACCACTGTTACCACTGCCTCGCTTCTGTGTTGTGGCTTCTGCACGTCGTTCGACACCTCTGGGCCACCGTAGAAACATCACTCTTATGCTCGTATAAAATATAAAATACCACAAGCTGAAGTCCTTTGAAAACCACAGCACTGTGTACTGAGAGAAATCCTCTTTCACTGTGTCCGTCACTGTTTCAGCTTCAGAAGGCGAACAGTGAGGCAGGAATGATGCGTGTGATACAGAAGAAGAGAGAAGAGGAGGATGAAGAGAGTCGTGGCTCGGGGCAGAGAGAAGTAGCTGGGGGCGGTGAGGGGGGGTGAGACAGATGCCCCTGCCCTGCTGGTCATGTTGGCAGTGGCAGGGCTGCCTGTGTGTGACAGACGGGGGAGGCGAACATCCCAACTCTCCTCCACAATCTGCTCCCTGCTCTCCCCCCCACATTGTCCTCACTCTGCCCTGCGCTTTCTGGTTTTCCACCGCAGGGTTTTAATCCCACTCCTGCCTGTCCCTCTTCATCAGAACCTCCCCTCCTCCTACTCCACCATCATCATCAACTTTCACCATCAGCCCTCCCTGCTTACACCCAGCAATAACCTGCCCTCCTCCAGCCGCCCTCCTCTCCTCCATCCCGACCAAAGGCCCGCTGAGCGGTTTATCTCAGACCTGGAGGCTGCGTCCAGTCCTGGAGGCCGCGGGCGATGACTCCCCTCCCCGCCTGGTGTTCCTACAGCCGACTGCCAAGCTGTCCTGACTAGCCACCCCTTCTCCTCCTCCTCCCACTCTCCCTCCTACGCCGTCACACAGCAAGACACAGCAGGCCACCGCCACGTCACACAGTAACACACACACACACACACAGAAAGATCCCCGCTGTGGTGAGCGAAGACACAAAATACAGACACAATCAATGTGCCACACGCAAAGTGCAGGAGATGTCAGCTACACACACACACACACACACACAGCAAGGAACCTAAAGGTCAGAAACAGAGCCTGTTGTTCTGAAGCTGTAAATGTTTGATGAGGGAAGTGTTGAGAATGTGTCGACCGAAGGCCTTTAACTCCACACCACCAAACTAATCTGAATCATGCTGAGAAAATGCCAATGCTGATCCAATCACAACCTCTGATCTTGGTAGACGCACCAAACAGGAGAATATACAGCTGTGTGTTTAAGAGAGTCTGTGGTGATGACTGACGGCCAGAGATCCACTCCAGGTTTGTAAAGCAGGATATGTATGAACGGTGTTTGCCAGGAAGAGTTTTGCACTTGTTCTGCTGGTAGACGTAGAGAGGATTTATTCACTTATTGATTCAGAGCATGTGAAGTTATTTATCTGAGACATTATAAGGACTTAAATCACCCCAAAGGATCAGTTCACCCTCCAAATTGTTTCCTCAATCACCTCTAGAAGGATCTAGCCATACAGATAGTTTAGGTTTAATTTGACAGAAATCTGTCTCAAGGTTTTCTGCCTCAGTTGAGGGGTTGAATGGTATTTGATTTGCAGTGATTACAACATTTAAAATTTACACTACAAAAAATAAAAATAAATCCCCAGCAGCATCTCTTTCCAGAAACGGCGTGCATCCCTGTTGATCCGTATAATCCACAGAACTCACATCTCAGCAGATTTCTCAAAACCAGAGCCAATTTAACCAAATTACTACATTTCACTAGAGGTAAGTGAGAAATTTTTTTTTTTTGTAATTTGGCTGAACCGACCCTTTAATTGCCAACATTTCGATTGAAATGAAGTATGTAATTTAAGAAACTGGTGTAATTTAAAGGGCATCTTCCAGCAAGTTAATGTGGCACTTCCATAAAGGCTGATCAGTTTCCAATAATGCAATTTAATGGAGTCCTTCAATAGAGTTTCACTGCATGGTAAACATCCACCTCTTTCAAACTCCACATCCCCCAGTTTGACATCCTCTGAGTTATTTTCTCAGACTCAGAAAAAGCACAATCCAACTGTCTTCCCAGGCGGAGTCGTTCACTGATTCTGATGCGTAAAATTGATACAGTGCACCTTAAAAAATACGATTGTGATTTGTGTGTCACATCTGAGAGCAAACTAATCTTCATGGTGTTTTTATCAGCTACACAGGTTTTCCAGAGAGACACTGAGGCACTATGCAGTAAAATATCCAAAATACAATTATTTAGGAGAAATGGCACCAACTGCTGCAAAATGCCAGCAGGCCCTCACACACACACACACACACAGCAGTCTGACGGTAAGCGAGCTGAACAGGAAGCCAGTAAATCAGTCGGTCGGGTCGTGGCCTGAGATGTTTGAAGCGGCTGCAGGTTGTAAGCTGAAGGTTTATGTAATGCAGTAAGTAAAGCTTTAA